TCTGAGGGGTCTGGGACACAGCCCCCAGTGGCCTGGCGTGGGGTGAACGCCTCCTGGGGACAGGCAGCACAGACCCCTCTGACTGCTTGGCCGGAGCAAAGAGCCGGCACCCCAGCCCCGAGGTGCCTGGCTGGGTTTTGGGGTCACCTGCACCTCCCGCGGTGGCCATGGGGGGGCAGTAGAAGATCCTCTGCCACCGCACCCCACTGCGGGCTGGGTGCAGGGGGCTCGAGCCCTTGGCTCTGCCCGCTCGGAGGGCAGCGTGGGCAGCCACCGCGTCTGCCTGTGCCCCCCCGAGCCTGCTGCAGCCCGCCTGAAGGAGAGGGAAGTCCGACGTCTGTTTTGGGGTGTTGGTGTGACTGCAGGGATCCGCAGCAGGATGGTGCTTGGCAGAGGAAGGGTGGATGGTGATGGGGAGGGGATGCAGGACGCATGTCCAGGTCTCCGGAGTGTTGCAGCTTCCCAAGGAGAAGGGCGATCCCAGGCAGACCTCACGGGAGTGTGTTTGGGCTTGCTGCCAAGCACCTTCTCTGCACCTCACTGCACCTGCAGTGCTGGGGTCCTGCCCTCCTGTGCTGACAGCTGAGAAATTCCCTGCTGCGGGATGCTCCTGGGCTGGGATGTTCCTGGGGATCCCCAGCACTGGAGTGGGGCTGGGCTGGAAGTGCGGGCTGGGAACCCGAGATGGCATCGAGCACTCGGGCTTTGGGACTGGGACAGGCTTGGGCAGGGTGCAGTGGTGCCCGCACCTTGGGGCTGGGGGATCCCAGCCACCCAGCTGGGCTCTGTGGAGCCGAGTGAGTGTGGAGGGACCGGATGGGCAGGGCATAGACCCCCCCCCAGGGCTCCTTGCAGTGCCTAGGGTGGGAGGGGGCTGGTGAGAGTCCCCCAGACCCCTTGCTTGATGGAGGCAGTGCCTGCTCTTCTAGCAGGAGGGCAGGGAGGGGAGTAGCAGCAATAAGCCTGGGGCAGGGGGGGTGGGTGTGACACAGAGCAGGGGGTTCAGCCAAGCTGATGCTCCCACCGGGATCGTGCTCAGACTCCTCAGGCCCTTTGTGGCTGTGCCTGGACATGCTGCAGCAATCCTGTGGCCTGGGATTAGCACTGGCTGGAGCCCACTTATGCCCTCTGCTCTCCTGGATGGAGGGGGATGCTTCTGCCTCCATCCTGGGTGACTCCT